AAAAAAATATGCAGATAAGACTGAAACTGATTGAACGTTTCGTTTTGCTTGCAAAGTGTGATGACGACCTTAAAGCGTGTAGCGAAAGCAAACATGTCAAGAAGATGAACTTTTAATATCCTGTATGATCATGTCGCAATCTTATTTAATTATTCTACAAAGTTCTGGAAATAAGGCCTGTAAAGGAAGTCATATTAAGCCAAGTAATTTTGAATCATTTTTAAAATATAATAGTATTGCATCCTGCCAAGAGGGAAGCAGAAGCAGAGAAAAAGTACTCAATTTTCTCAATAATAAGAGTTCAATGGAAAAGTTCACTTTTACTGTTTAACAAATTAAGGATTGTTTCGTAAGTGGGACGATGTTGAGAATAATGGTGGGGAGAGGGAAGTGTGCTGTTGAGTCTTTTAACTATGATTGATTTGTAAAGGTAATGTTTTATGAGGGAGGGGGGGAGTGAACAATGAGCCGGTTCCAACACTGATTGTTCTTTTCGAGAAAAAAGTAGCGGGAGGATTTTTCAATCAAAAGAAATTAAGGATAAGAGAAGAAGTCAGTGGGGTTGTTGTTTTGGGTTTGTTTTGTTTGATATTGTTTTTGTTTTTTGGAGGGGGGGGGGTTAAAAGAAAAAAACAATTTAAAAAAGAGATCTGGGAAACTCAAAAGTACAGAAGAAAGGAAAAGAACTGATGAGCGATGTTGGAAACTGTAATTTGCTCGTAAAAGTTTCTATCTCCAAACACATAGTTACATACATAAGTATTATAATTTTCAAAAAGTTAATAGTGATTGTTAATGTTTCAACTGGCTCAAGTGCCCGCTCTTGCAACAATAACGAGGTATTCTTTCAGATTTACGCCTCCTTCTATACAATTTAGATAATTTAGGAGGCGGGCAGCTTCTTTGTTGCCTGTCAGAGCCAGCACAGACTGAGAGGTACACACTTCACGGCAGGAATCAATGGAGATACTCGATGCTATTACATTTACTTGTGTACACTAAGTAAGTAATAGACTATTGGACACTATCATACGCAATGATTTTCTACTAATCAAATGGCGTCAATCTCATATAAATGGGCAAGGGATATAAAAAAGTTGATACTCGATACAAATTCTCCCCTTTTGAGAATCGAACTGACGCCTTTCGTTTCTCCGTCGAAGCGTCTAATAACTACACCACCGACCCTGACGTTTCTCCTTGCATTAAATTAATCACAAATAAAAAAGGTGACAACCAGTGGTGCATTAATTAATACAGAAGGAACAACATCAAACATACGGGTAAGGGAAATAATAGTTTGACCAATAAACACAATATTTTGAAACTGTTTTTGTAAATCAGGATCCTTTCATCAAGGTGAGAATAGGCAGGATAAATAAAGATGTACAGACACCGTGGATTTCGTTTTCCAACACGAAAGGTAAACTCCTGCAGTGCAGGTGACAAGCACTAAACTGGTGTACGTCATTTTAATAGGCCAGGCTCAAAGTAACAATAGCTTAATTTTTCGATAGTCCTCGAAGCTGGCTTTCTGAAACCGAACATGAAATACCCCCCCCCCTTTTTTTTTCCAGGAGCTCCTATTTATCGAGTACACAACACAGAAAGACTAGGACGTCAAATGTAAGGCTTCATGGATAAATCAGCTCTCGAAAAAATAATAAAATGGAATATTTCAGCATTTCCCAGCGCGTTGAGCAGTTTAATCGATTTTTTAGAGCTCTTTTACTTCAATTTAAAAACACATTTCTGTGTAGATTTTACTGAAAGACGTTGGTCAAAGGCATACAAATGTAAATTTTCAGTTTTCAAGAACTCAAAAGCTATGGAAGTCATCAAATTTTGGCGACCATTTCCTCAGTAATTTTACCTCTAACACTAGCCGACCTCAACTTTCTTCATTGTCAATACAGTATCAGGACTTCTATTCAGGATAGATGGGTTTGGAGGTGTTTTCTTTAATCAAAAGAAACGCAAACGAATAGTATCACAGATACTAATAACTCCACATGCCCCAAAATTGACCACAGCCTGATTCAACTGCTATGTGACCCAAATCTTTAACTTGAAGTCAGATATTTTTTGTATGTGGGTATACATGTAACTACATTCTAGGTATATACGAATATTATATATCGTCAGCACCGTTTCCTGTATATTTTTACCTATACTTTCCTGCAAATGAGTCTAGGATGCTAGTCTTTGGCCCTATTTGTTTCACCGATCATTCACCTTTGGGCTATATGACAGCATTGCGGCGAATGCAGTTAAAACAAAAATTATGTTGCAAAATTAATTAGGCGTGGGTATGAATCTATAGCATACAGTACAACAATCATAAATTATTCCATGTACACTTACATAACTTATATAATACATAAGATTCAACGTTCATAACGAAGATGATCAAATATCTGAGGTAATAGCGCATGCATCTTATATAGACCCACCCACATACGTCCGTCTCCACTCCCTTCAAACAAAACATGACCAAAACAATTACCCTCACCACCCCTCCCCCCCCCTAAAAAAAGGAAACTGGGAAAAGAATAATAAAATAATATATAAGAGCAAAAACATCCAGTCACAGAGAGACAAGACAGAACAAAAACATCAACCAACAACAAACAAACACACAAACAAACAAATAAATGAAACCAATATTGTTTTTCAATTGAAATGAACAGAAAACAAACAGTCTTTGTGTAGTTTGAAAGTGCAACATCTGGGGTTTTACAAGAACAATATTTTGCACATCTAATAAAGACCAAATAGGACAGGGAATAATATGTAGAGTGGGGCACACGACATAGATTCAGTGAGTACCTGAATACATAGGTTACTGAGTGTCTGGAGAGAGAAAAAAGAAGCCCATTAGCCAAAAGGAGAGGCAACATTAATTCTGTGTCAATAACACACTGTGCACATTGCTCATTTGATCCATTTGATTCATTTATTGATACGGTTGGAGCTGAACGGGATTTCCTTTCGTATAGCTGCTTTTATTTTCTAGCAATTTGGCACAATTTGATCAAATTTCTCTATTATGAAGCATGTTTGATTTTGGAAGATTTGATCAAATTGTGCCAAAATGACAGCTTTTCCACCCTCCATGGAGGGTAATATTGGCCCGGCTCGACTGAACCCAATGGATCAATTAATGTATCACACGGGTAATAGGTGTTTGGCGATAAGATCACTTCATGACTCTATTGGCAGCTGTGTATGATAAACCATATGATCTTTTTCAATTAAGAACAGAGTTTTAAGGTTTACATTGTGTAGGAAAAAAATGGAACTGAATGAAAATATGATGTTTTCCTGGTGTATATGTAAAGGTCCTTACACCTTTCCAAAAGTTAAATATTATCATTTTAAGCATGTTCATTCTTTTTGTCATCGTATTTTTCTCTCGTCTCTCGCAATGTTGTCCAAACGTGTCCGTCTAGTTGGTTTCATTTTCAGTTTTTATCACAAAAGATATCTTTATTCAAACATTATACCTTGTGACAACGTGGAAATCAATGACGACAAAAACGAAATGAAACAAAACGAAAAAAACCAACAGTTTCAGTGGACTCAGAGATGTCAGAACAGAGATTAGTATCATGATTGGTACGCCAAACAGGCAGAACAAACGGATGAACTTCGAATTTCTAAAGATAAATCTTGAGAACAATGTCTTTATAATATGCATGAAAAGGTATACACAGAGGTCAGAAAAAGATTTTGTGTGAGTGTGTTTTTTTCGGCCCTTTTTTCCGTCTGTTTTGTTTCGTTAGCAAATGGATGGTTGATTTGGAAAGTAATTAAGTTGCTCTGACTCTCACAAGTGCGAAGACTTATGTGTCGTTTTGTTCATTAGATCTTTAAAGACGTTGCAGACAATGCCCGATCATCAACAGACGAAAGGAAAAATTGCGGCTCCTTTGATACCATCACAATCTAGAAACCCAAGGTTGCAAATAAATATTATTTCATGGTACGCGTCTTGTTGCAAGCCTTTTTAAGTTTCAGATAAACAAAACAGAACCGAAGAACGTGGATGGATAATGAAGTTATTCTTCTTTTTTTTAACAGTTTTTTTAAGGCCCCAAAACAGCACGTCTTCAAGCGTTGTCGACTGACACGAAAGCGCATCCTCATTGAGCTCAGAAAACAACACAGCTGATATGGTCGCTTTTAAGGACAAGCGGGCTAACCCAGATTTTGAGGGTTTCCATAAATCTTAACCTACACCAAAAGTGAGCATTGCCCTATCTCTAGGAGGAGTTTGATTTCATTGGTGTGTATATTTGTTTGGATATAGAGAAAACCCTCCTTGTCTTTTTAAAGAAACTGAACAAGGAGCAAAAACTTTACCTTCTCAAAACAGCATTTTTCGGATAGCCCCCTTGTACTTAAAAGAGACCATGTGTAGGTGGGTGCCCATTGGCAGGATCGGTTTGGTTCGGTTTGGTTCGGTTTGGTAGGAGAGACTAGAAGGATTGAAGGCGCAAAGCGACCATCGTGGCGCAAACCAATCGCCCGACTCACAGCCTCAAAAACAAACGGGTTTGTTTTCAGGCCGTGAATCGGGCGATTGGTTGACGATCGGTTAGCCGACCCCCAAATGGGCACCCCGTATTAGAAAGCCACGATCAAGTCCCTCGACTCACCCATGAGTGTTCACACTAGGGGTGCGAGGTGTGCCAGCGGAGTACGTGGGCGACTGTGAGTGGCTGGAAGAGAACACGTCATCATCGACGTCATCAGCACTGTCCGAGAGGCTGTCCACAACCAGGCTCGTTTTGTCTCCGCGCATGCGCCGGTTCCGCGCGCGCCAACTGGCCGTACGCTGGTGGTGGCTGCCCCGACTGTTGGAGCGTCTCAGGCAAGGTGAAGGTCGGGGCGAGCCCGCGCGATAACTGAGGGATGTCTGTGGATCAAGCAATGATGATGATGATGATGATGATGATGATGATGATGATTATGATTATGATGATGATGATGAGGAT